TAATAATAATAATAATAATAATAATAATAATAATAATAATAATAATAATAATAGTGATAATAATAAAGCTTCAGTTTAAATCTAAAAGCATGAAACAGTGCCAAATTTTTTTTTCTTTGTTACCGTTCGCACAAAAAAAATTTATAAGCCTAAAAATATTGATGAGCGGGAATTTTGGTAATGTTAGAGATAAGAGGAATGAAAGGATGAGAAAATAGCAAAAGTTAGAGAGAAAATTTACTGAGATTTTTCTGGAACACAGGTAATCGATCAGGAATATTCATTCATAATTTCCATTAACACACATAAGTTTGACCTCATTTACAAAGTAATTAAAAACAAATTAATTGTTAAATTTAGCGCTAAATTTCTCATGAAAATTTTCCTTCCCTCTGTCTAATATTTCATGGCATGCAAACAAAATGCAACTTACACGTTTCGTGCTTTTTTTTTTTTTTTTTGTTTTGATGGAATTTATGCTATTATTTGTTAACATTGAGAAATGTTTCTACAAGGAAGAAAGAAAAACCAACGGATTTTTTGCAAATTTTCGAAATTTATATTTGTATAATTAAATTTTAAATTTAAAACTTTTTGTTAATTGAGAAAAAATAATGGGAAATTTTAATAACGGAGAAAAGGTAACGGAAAATCATTTTTTTATTTTATTTATTATACTCATAAATAATGCAATAGACGATTATTAAATGCATAAAATGCTATAATTTTACGATATTGTTTTTTTTTCTTTTTTGGTGCTAGCGATAAATAAACACTGCAAATTTCAAGGTATGGTAATTTAAAATTTATTTTATAACTGAAAATTTTGAAATTTTGAAATATTTTGAGATGAATCTTATGACTGACATGAGTGCAAGGAAGGATTAAAGTGGCGAAATCCTATGTGATGGCATCATTTTCTGCTGATAATCGTGATATTGTTTGTTATTTGGTGACAAAACATTCATGGAAAGGAAAGTTGGTTATACGTTTATAAGTGCTCCTTTTTTTTCCAGGAAAAATTATGTGATGTTTCGTTTTTGATATTTTGGTTTCTGTTTTCTTTCATTTTTATTGCAAGTTTCAATATAGATAAAAAATATTAAACATGTAAATAAGAAGACTATTTCCACATGATGTTTTATTCATATTTTTGTTGTATATTTGTGCATTATTTACAGATACAAAAGGATATTTTCAATCGGTACGTTAGCTGTCACAACTTATAATCCGTCTACACTTGAAATAACAAATCAGGTCCAATAATTTTTTTTCTAGATTTCAATATTTTCAATTGTATCCAAATACTTGAAGATCGAATAAACATAAGTAATTTGGAAGTATGAAGAGTAATAAAAATTCAAGTACTCGCAATAAAAGTCAACGTCTGACATTGCGCTAACATTAAGTTAATAGAAGCACTTCTGTAGGTTAATCTATTTCGTGCATCATGCAGTTTGTTTCTATAGGAGCACCAAATATTTCTTTTCCATTATAATTTTCAGTGGTTGTACGAAGATTTCCTCACAATCAAATCAGTATCACGTTCGCTTCAAGGTCAGGATGAATTCGTCATCCAGATTCGTTCCAAGCGAAAAAGTGATACGATGCGGTTCTCATCGGAATATACACAAGAAATTTTATCAGAAGCTCTTATGCATATGCCTAAATTTTCCGATGCTCAACCTGAAATACTGGTAAAACTACTTCAGTCCCGTAACAACCGCGAGCTTAAGTCTCTGAATTGATTGAATTTGATCTTGATTATAATTTTTGATCTTTCTAATCTTAAGTGCTCTAATCGATTGTACGAACTGATTTTAGCTCATTTTCAATTTTATACTTGCACAAATCAATATAAAATTCGCTGCCAAATAACGCAGAATACTATTTCAAACAACTGATTTTAGGATTTTACTGGCTACAAACATGATTGGTCAGATCGCCGTATACCGGTTCTACTCCGAATAAAGACTCATTCATTGGAGAGACTAAATAATAACGATGAAGTAATTGCATCATACGCATACCGGCGTATGAAATCCATCGTTATAGTGAGTAACTATAAAATTTCTCGAATTCGAAGTTTTATTTCTTTGTCTCTAAAGAGATACAAAGAGTACACATAAGCTTTATCCGTATTCAGTCTCTATTTATTATCATAAATGTTTGTTCTATTATAAACAAGTGTTAAATTTTTTAGATGCAAGGATATCAAAATGGATTCGTTGTGGAAATGGATGAACAACGCCGTCGAGTTAATTTTACTTTTTTTTTTCTTTATTACTCTTTGTTCAAATTTTTACAACCATCAAAATTTTTTATTATCCTGGAAGTTTTCGTTCTCAATGGGAAATGTGTTTTTCAAATTATCAATTCGAATCTGGTTTGCGCATCAGTTCCATTTCTTATTTCGAAAGCAAAAAAGGAGTTGAGAAAAAAAAAAGAAAAAAACCTTTTCAAAGAGAAGGGATTATATTAAAGTGTTTCTTATCCGTCAGTGTCGGCATAGAAAATGACATTTCCTTGAAGATATGAAATGACATGCGGAAATATTGAAAAGATCGCCGATGGAATATAGAAGTTCAGTTGGTAATTTTTTTTTGACTTCTACAGCATTTATTTGTATGCGAACAATTTGATGATCTAATCTCTATGATGCGACAAATGGCGACAAACTATTTGGGGATTTCAATACCGATGGCGAAAGAAGGAATCACTCTGGAACAATTTATGCTAACACGTTTGGGTTTGTGTAGGTGAGTTTGTTTGATCGTTATGCAATGTTTGGTTGTTATCTTTATGGATAAATAGTTTAAAAAATTGCCAAATTAATATATTGTTACCAGTGTGCGCTACCTGATTTCTGTATATTCATATATGTCTTAATCTCAGAAAATTTCTTTCTGCTTTACTTCTGAGAATCCACGATTTTATGGAGGGCGGGAAGGGAATGGACAGATAAATGGATTTAGTTGTGGGCTTTTTATCCGTTTTTTTAGATTACAAAATGCTTTAAAATGATGTTTTTATACTAGAGGAGTGCTCAGTATTTTTCTGAATTTGTTTTGTATTTTATTATTTTTGCAAAGATTTTTGTCGAAATTTTCTGGCCATTAATAGTGAATAAATCGTTCAATTTACAGCCGTGATGAACAACTAACTTCATATGCTGAGTTCAAAGTTCAAAAGTTTTCACCGCGACAGTATCCTCCGGTGAAACGATTACTGTGCTTGAGTAGCACATGCGTTATTGAACGGGATCCAGTGACTTATGCAGCAATTTGTGCGAGGCTATTAAAGACGGTCTGTTTAGCTTTCTGAAACGAGATACGTTAAGTTGTTTCGATTTGAGATATTTGGCGAAGTGTAACGAAATTAGTCAAGTTTGTGTCGAAAAGTTTTCATCAAAATAGTTGGTTTCATTATTCAACTATTCTTTCCACGACTATGATTCATTCATTTTAAATCTCTCTTGCATCCAATTTTGTTAATTTTTTAACTTTATTTCTGTTTATTTTATTCCATTTCTTTGGTTAATTTTCTTAATTAGAAATTCCGAAATTTACTCCTAAAAAATATATGACGATTTCAATATCAAATGAAAGGATTATGAAGTATGAGTTGTATAATTCTTTTCTGAGCCTCTTGGACCATTCGCCCATTTAATACAACGTCTCTTTTAGTGGTGGCTGCTGCCATACCCCAGATTTAACCCATATATGGAAATCTTGAAAGAGGGATGGAAACTCAAGAAACTTATCAATCCTTCCAGTTATTTCACACTCTTTGCTTGAGTTTGGATAATTTCAATCTGCTGCGCCTAGCCAATCGGTAATTGTTCACGTCTTCTAGATTTCATCCACTCATTTCTGCATATTTCATATCTCTTTTATTTTTGCTTCTTTTTTAGTTTACTGTGCAACCTTTGGTAATGGTAAAATGTTAAGAAACAGTATTCATCTAAATTCCTGAATGATATGTTTGTTAAACTAGCCAGCTTTTTATTATATAATTTCCATCCTACTGTTCAAAGCCATCTTCTAGTTTCGTAAAAGTGATTGCGTAACAAAAAAAAGAAAACAAAATCTCATGATTGTAAGAGTCTCATTACCGATTTATTATCGATTTCTTGTCTCACCAATTAGAAAAAAAATAAAATAAAATCTCATTTAAAAGAAGGAAAAAAAATCTCATTACCAGTTTTCTTTTGTTCTGGAAATAACAAATGCATCGTTATATCCAGCAGTAATTGAACCATTCGATAAAATGATTATTTCTGCTCTTTCTTTCCAGTAATTATTAAATTATATTGGTTGCTTAATATGTGTAATATTTGAAATATGTGCGCGTATAGAAATGTTGAACAGAGATTTCCTAAATTCCAGATTCAACATTCTTAATCGAACGGTAAAACAATATCATTAATTGAATGAGGGCTTCGTAAAATAGCTCTTTTATAATTCGAAATTTATTCGTTTTTCACTTTTAGATTGTCTTTGTGGTTCGTGATGAAGAAGATCCGCAAAGCTTTACCATTCAGTATGATGAAGGTGACATCCGATCATATACTTCTCCTGAACGGTATGATTTTTTCTTGATTCAAATCATCTCAAGCATTAGTACTTTTAGATTTCAAAAAATGATGGTAAATTAGTATAAGATTTGGATTGAAACAGATTATATTTGGTTCTTTTGATGAATGGCCTTATTACTTAGTTTTGAAACGCTTGGTAAATTTAAATATTTAATTTCATTTGAAAACTTTCAGGGATTTAATCCTAACATCACTCATTGATGGATCACGGGCTTCTGGAAATCAGTATCTATTTGTTACATGTAGTAAATATGATCGTGCTTTACGAATTATACCATATAAATTCTTATTGGATGAAGATACGGAATCACAATGCATGAGACATATTATTTCAGTGCCACGTCTGTCCTCTTCTTTTCTTTTCATTGCTCAGCAAACTATAATAATTTTCTTCCACTTTGTTATAGGCATCTCAAAGAAAAAAGAATCGAAAAGAACATCTGGTTTTTAGAGCCTAATTCTTGTTTGGTTTTGAAATAGTCACTACTTTGCTAACCGGCAAAATTATTAGTGATATTTAATAAAACTAATAAATGTTAATGAGATTTAGTAATTAGAATTTTAATGCTTTGGAAGAATAATTCAATTACTTTGACCTTTTTAGCTGGCCTGAAAAGATATGATTTGATTCGGCGTTTTAATGCTAATATACCGTACGGTGGACTTACCTATACAGTCTCACAGGAGGTTCATTTTTATTTTATCACTGGGAATTACGTGACAAGCATTTTTTGCTTCCTTAATTATACCAACTATTTTACAGGGATTTTTTACCGAAAATAAAGCGAAAACAATTGTCGCTTGTTTGGAATCTGTACTAATAGAAAATTTTGGCAGTGAAATTAATAAGTGCGAAGCACAGTTACAATGTTTACATCGTTTATTTGCTTCGAAGAGTGGATTCCAAGCATTTACCGCTGTGCCGGGGTAAGTGATGGTAGTTGATTATTTTCTGGCGTACATTACTTTTCTGATTCGGATAAATTTGTCGCATTAGAACTTTGAAATGCTCATTAGCGCAACTTTCAGGCATCTGATATATGAATACTGTTTCATTTTTGTGCTTGCAATTCACTGTTAAAATAAGTTTAGGACAGAAGAGGAAAAGGCTTCAACTTAAGATTGCTTCATGAAGTAGTTATTATCGATTGAATAGAAAATGAATAAAAAAATTCTATGCTCTTATTTATTTCAAATTAAAATTGATCGCGTTGAATGAATTCGAGGCATAAATTTTATTCCGGAAGTTAGCCTGCTTAAAACTGGAGTAATGCTAACTTTCGGATTGAAAATTATGCCAAACATTCATAGAGTGTGTTGTTGGCGCTTACAGAACTAATTCAAAGTTAACTTGTATTTGAGATAGATTTCAGTGTAAGTTTTGCGCTTGTCTTTTCTAGCAATCATTTTTATTTGTGTAACCATATTTTTCATTTTTTTTTTTTAATGCAGAGTTCGTGAAAAATTGGGTGAATTGGTAGTTCGCATGTTAAATATATCTAACGAATGCATCGATTATGCAACCGTTGAAATGCTTTGTTCATTGATGCAACCAATGCATTCGAATTATGAATTGAAGCTGGAGCAACTTAATAAGCAATCTCTACTTGCAAATTCACAATTCGTGGAGCATTTGTTGGATTTGGTTGTTAAACATACGGTAAAGAAATTCTACAAACTTTATTTTTTTTTAAATCCCGATAATTTTTTTCAAAAAACTTTCGCTTTATTTTGACTGTTAAAGTAACGCGATCGAAAATTATTAGAAGGATTCTTGAATGCGGATTTAGTTGTCGTAACTGAGCATGCAGTTAGACCTTTCAACGACTTCTGATTATCTCTGAATGTCATTTCATTAATTGCAATATTCATTTTCTATTATGCAAACGAGGGAGTGAAGCATTTCGATAAATCAGGATTAATTTAGTATGCAGGTCACTGCCGAACTCTTCGATAGCTTAATTAATGGATAGATGAAACTGAAGAGTTAAATCTGTTATATTTTCAAAAAATTACAAACAGATGTAGTAAAATAATCACTGGACTAAATCATTGGATTGTTCTCATGATTCCGTCGATAAATTAATAAATTTGGGCATTTCTATCACCTGGTAAAACTTCATTAAGTTCTAACACATGAATATTTTAAAAAATTCTTTTAATTTTAAAATGGGTTTTCAAAACCTGAAACGTAAACTTATTAATTAAATGACCATATATTTTCGTGAATTTCAATAGTTTCAGGATCAAAGAACTGGTCCGCTTGTTATTGCTAGCATGCTTGATTTTCTGACATATGCTCTCTGTGCCCCATATAGTGAAACAACATTGGGTGCTATATTCGATTTATTGCTCGAAATGGTTGCCGAACGTGGATCAAGCTTTTATCGGCTTTTTCAGTATCCATCAATGACAATTATTAAAGGTTAGTCTGATAGGAATGGATGCGAACTTGAAATCGATTATTTGAAGTTCAAACAAAATTGTTGGTTATTAATTGGAGAATTTGATACAAATATGACGAAATGACGATGTTTTCAAGATATTTCAGTTTTTTTGCGAATTTTGCACCCTTAATTTTTTTGCTTATTCTCGTTTACTTTGATTTATATCTTGTTGGACTTGCAAACAAGTTTGTTTCACATAACTTGTGATTATGTAGTTTAGTTTTTTAGGAGCAGGTATGGTAATGCGTGCTATCATTGAAGAATCAACAATAGAAATTTCGAAAAGGATGCAAATGTTATCCCTAACGGAAGGAGCATTTTTGGTGCATCTTCATATGGCTTTACTTAGCGTTGGTCATGATCTTCGAGTCCTTGCAAATAAACAGCTTAGTGGACATCTGCTTTCACTGTGGATTGCTGATAATAATGCTGCCGCTGATTTGCTGTCAAGATGTTTGGTAAGTTAGAATGAAGTTATTACTATCTGGAATGATATTTGTCATAATGTAAAACAATTCAAAGTAAAACATAAAAGTGTGTTTTTTTCTTTTTAATAGTATAGATATATCGTGTGCTTTTAGCCTCGTGGATTACTGGATTATATGGATTCAGTTGAGAAGCCGAATATTACGGAAGTAGATTACCTGTTGACACGAAACAATTTGGAAATGGCTAATGAAGAATCAAGACAAAATCATCTACTAGTAAATCTACTGCTAATTTAGCTGCAAGAATAACCAATAATGACATAGTCACATTTTCATTTGTTTCATTAATATCCCAATATTTTTTTACAAATGAATCTTCCAATTTTTCCCAGGACCAAATGCAGCAAATGCAGCTGCAACTAGAAGCAAAACTTGATCGATTGTTGCAGCATTGGAATTTGGAGCGTAAATTTCTGCAAAAGAAAGATGTAAGAATTGATTGTGTTAAGCTAGTGTTTAATATTGATTTGACTACTAAGTATATTGAATATTTCATTACGTAGGACTAACATCACAAAACATGGAAATATTGTTATGTTTTAGTCAGCAAAGTTTGAGCATCGACAAAGAAGCTAATGTTAGAAAAATAAGAGGTAAAGGTTGTCTAAGATAAGCAGCAGCTTATGTTATCATGATTTGTCTGTCTATATAGTAACATTGCTACACAATGTTGTTACTACTTATCGCGATGAATTAGTAGCTTATTCAGTTTTGTAAAAAGCGATTTAAAGACTTGCTTAATTTAATTTTGAGTCTGTGAGACAGGCTATTCAATGGGATATTAGCTTTTGTAGGATAAAATGCAGAAACCAGTTATATTACGTAAGAGACGACAACGAATAAAAAGTGGGGTAAATTGGAAACTGTTTTGTTTCCAGTTTACTAAAGATCATTGTAAAGTAAGTATTTCCCTTATTATTCACTTCCAGTGACTTTTAAAAGTCAAGTAAATCCGACCAGAATTTTTTTTTTTCGCTTCGCTTTATCCATGTGAAATTTTTTTTAACATGAAATTCCATGGAGGCTACTCTTTTATAATAAATCATTACGAAATCATGATTGCTGGATAAAATTCAGAAACCAGTTATGTTACGGTTAATCATGATTTTATATATGAAACTGGTGTTACGTTCTATTTCATTTGTAATTGTTGGATATTAGTTTTATTAAAGGCTGATTTAATATGGAATGAAACGACACGGGAGGAATTCCGTCGCTCGATCGAAGATGAAATGAGAATTTTGGAACAAGAAAAAGAGCTTGTTCCTACGAATGTTCCAATCTCATGGAATCATACCGAATTCCAGGTATGGCCTATCTGGAGTTTTAATTTATGGTAACTTCGTTTCCCTTTTTGCCTGTTCATTTAGCTTCTGTTTTATGTCTTATTTTTCTGATTACTCATGTGTCTTATTTTCATATGTCTTATTTTTATTCACGCACAAATCTCCTGTTAACGTGTAAAAGTTGGATTATGGCTGTTTAGGTTCGATATCCATCTTTGGCTGACGAAGTTAAAATTGGTGATTATTATTTGCGAATCCTGCTGCAAGAGAACGATGCCACTGCTACACCGATACATGATGCGTCAGTTTCAAATATTATCAGACATAGTTACATTACTTATCACGAATAAGCAATAAGTACCTTCTGCATTTGCAATAAATGAATATATGCTAATTTATATGTGACCGGATTCAAGCCTACTAATAATAGAGTTTATATGGCCTCTTTTTATGGTTACCAATTTCAATTACAATCAGCTTTTAAACTTCAATTGATTTTGGTTTATAGAGGTGATTTTTTCAACAGTGTTTATCACCGATTTCTGCTTTCGGCAAAAAGTGAAATGCGTTGTATTTGCTTGAAAGCAATGGCTATAACATATGGACGCCATCATATCACCATTGGACCATTCATGGATTCCAAATATATTGTCAATATGTTATCGAGGTGTTCCAATCCAGCTGAAAGAGATCATCTGGTGCATAAATTTTTGGAATTTTTAAGTAGACTTTCATTTTTGTATTTGATAAATTGTTGTTTTGGGCTGAGGAAAATTCACTACTTTAAGAAATTTATATGCTAACTTTGTAGTTCGTTAAATATAATAAAGCATCCAGTCCTTCATTTACTTTTTTTTTTCATTTACGCTGTAGAGTGTGCAGAGACTTTTCCACAGTTACACGAAGGTTAGTGATCATAACATGTCACTAAGACTAAAAAGACCTGCATTTCCAATCTCCGAAAGTTGGTTAGGTAACCTAGTATGTTGACTATAGGTTCATCTATCCTATTTGCTGCGAATCTAGAAATTTTTCACATTCACTTTTAAAAATATCCTTGTGCGTTATTTTTCAGGTATTTCTAATCAGTAAATTGGTGCAAAATAAGGATAACGTCCGCGAATTATTACGTGCTGGTGTATTACCATTACTCACTGACATGGCGGTTCTTGCTCATCTTCACGTAAGCCGTGCGAAAATTCACAATCAGGTTTGTTTGTAAGTGTGCAGTTTGCTTTTGCGACATCATCTAGATGTAACAAGGCTTATGTTGACCAAAGTAGAGATTAATGGAAGTAATTTATTTGAACTACCATTATCCGTAGTTCATTTTTAGGTTCAGATAAATGTAATCGAAGCTGATGTTTCGGCCAGGAATGATGGCACCGCGGAATGGTACTATACCGATAAAGCAGGTAAACGACAGGGACCAGTAACTTTCAATGAGGTACAATTGCATTTTACAAATTCTACCGAAATCTAAGCCTGAATATTCCGCAGTTGATTTCAGCACGATTTATACGTATAATTTCCTTCTCGTCGAATTCAGAAGTGCAAATGTTTGCAGAACATTCTGCTTCTAAAAGCACCGATATCCCACTAAATCTAAGATTCTTCGAATTTTGAACTTTTACATTATTAATTTGATTGCTATTCAGATGAAGAAACTTTACGAACAGAAAGTAATTTTCGAAAGAACACTAATATGGGCACAAGGACTGGACCAATGGACAGCTCTTTCAGCAGTTTCACAGTTTCGATGGACCATGTGCTGTTCATTGGCGACTAATTCACTGTACAACTTTACCGATCTTTGTACACTTATTCTAGATATTTTCATTCAGATGTGCACATTTTTTCCATCAAGGTATGCAAATTTGTGGTAAATCGGAAGATATTTTTTCTTAGAAATAATATTGTAATATCTCACAGCTCTGTGTTTTTGAACTTGAATTCGTAAATTCAGGTTTTCTCGACTTTTGAACAAAATCTTATTTTAGCTTCGTAATGAAATCAGAAAAATCTGAGTCAACTTGAGTTTCGAAATCGTAAACTTACGATATTTACGATTTCAACTTCAAAAATATAAGCAAATTTCAGACTTTTTTCTAATCGCCTGTTGCTAAATTGTTATGTCAAAGAAATTAACGTTTCTGATTATTTTTCAGTTTTAAGTTTATTTTCCTGAAGAGAAAGATCAGAAAGTAAGTAATCTCTTTTATTTCAGAGATGAAAATGAATATATAGTAAGACCATTACCGCATGTTAAACGAAATTTATCCGAACCAGTGTTGCTTTATCAAGTTGTTCAATTGCTTCTCACGTACGATCCTGCAATTGTACAACGAGTTGCGTCTTTGCTATTACATATTCTTGAGGTTTGTACTTTTCTAGAACTTTCAAATTACATTGTTTTTAGCTCTACAAATTATTACTTCACTAAAACCCTGATCAGAAGTATGATTGGACGGTAATGCGGTAGTCCTCTTTTACAAAATCATTTGCTTTTCGGGCTTCATTCATTTTTTGCTTCATTTATTTCTGTTACTTGGTATACATTACTTTGATTTGTCGGATACCTTGTTGGTTTTGCTTATACATTGTTTTTATTTGTAATCTCCTTCTCATTGTTACTAGAGCTTTAATTTTAATTTAATATAATACTTTGATGAGACGAATGATGAATATTCCTAAGACTGATTGTAAACTTGAGTAGCAAATTTTTGCCATTTAAAGTTACAGTGGAATGTTGCAGGATAATCCTTTTTTGTCACGGTTATATCTTTCTGGTGTCTTTTTCTTCATTCTCATGTATAATGGTTCAAATTTACTACCAATTGCACGATTTCTTCATTATACACATATGAAGCAAGCATTTCGATCAGCGGTGGTTAGTTGTGGTATTTCTCAAATCTTATAAGATTTTTTATTAATTTATTTGAATTTCATGGCACATTTAAGATGTGGTTTATTTTAGGCAAGGTCAGAATTTGTTTCACGCAGTATTCTGTGTCCATTACTTCCGGAAGCGGCAATTTTGTACCTGGAAGAATACGGTGCTGAAAAGTTTGCCCAAACCTTCCTGGGTGAATTTGATAATCCAGAAATTATATGGAATAATGAAATGAGGTATCTATTTCCTTTCGTTCGTTGAAAGCTGGGAAGCAGGGTGGGAGGATTTTTTTTCAGTCTTCGTCATTTTTATATTTTTCGATTATGTACTTGGAAGAAAATTATCATAGGGACTACAATCTTTTCCTCTGGAATGGTAAATTTGGAATGAAGTATGTTTTCCTAAACAGTTTGCAAAAATTAGCGTAATTTGGGCACGAAACAAAACAATCCAGTGTAAATTCCAAAAATATTGTTGAAGAAATTTGGTGGGCAAATTTTTAAATAACTGGCTATAATTTCAGGAGACATATGATTGAAAAGATTGCTATACATATCAGTGATTTTTCGATTCGGCTCCCATCAAACATCAAAGCTTTGTATCAGTATTGCCCCATTCCTTCAATTGACTATCCACAACTTGACGGAGAGTTATTCTGCCATGTATATTATTTGCGACTACTTTGCAACACTAATCGTTTTCCATCCTGGCCAATACGTGATCCAGTGAGTTTATAACTGCATCTCAATGTTGAAATAGCTATAATTAATTTGGTTTATGCAAAGGCTTTCTGTGGTTAAGTCATTGCTTCTTGATAGAACTAATATTTAGCCATAGAACATCTCAAATCTTTTCAGAATTGTGCTAATTTTTTAAAATTCAGAAATGATTAAATCCAGAATGGGATTTTTTATTTTATATTGATTATTTCAAAAACTGTTTGTTTTCATATTATACAGTTTAATATTATTTGATAAAACTACGAAGACTTCCTTGGTCTGTCATGTATCTATGAACAGTCTACGTTGAAGTTGTTCAAACGTTCGCTGAAGTTGTTTGTTTTAGATTTTAAGACGCTAGGAGAAAACATTTTTCGCTTTTTTCCCAAAAACTTTTAAATGAATAACAACGGTGTTTTTTAATTTTTTACGCATGAATACAATTTCAGGTCACTTTCCTACGCTGTTGTCTGGCAACATGGTTAGACGAAATTGATAAAAAACCACCTGCAATGTCTTTAGAGCAAGCATGCTCCGTTCTATTACTTCCCAATAATGAATCTACGTAAATTTTTTTAATGGAAATAAGGATATCAGCATTTCTTGAATTTCAATACATTTTGTCCATTATCGGTGTCACACATCGAATACTCTTAGTGTATCAGTTTCTGAGAAAAAAAATTCGCTGATCAAATTTCACTGTTCTTCAGGATTAATGACAGCCGTAAAAACACAGTTTTTTTTTTCTTTCCAGATGGAAAAATAAAGCAGAGATTCGACGAGCTTACTTTAAGCTAGCTCAGAAGTATCATCCAGATAAAAATCCTGATGGGCGAGAAGTATTTGAGCAGATAACATCAGCCTATGAACTACTTACATCAAATGTGCATCATTCCATTGCGCCAGATTTACAACGTATTATCCTATGTTTGCAAGCTCAATCGATCGTTTACAAGAATTGTTCTGAGGGTTTATTTATTTATTTATTTATTGTGATTTGTTTATTCATTTATTCGAAAATTTTATGAATACCGAAAAATGTCAGCAATTCTTCGATTCTTTGATGTTTTCCCGAAGCAGATATTCACAGTTGTCAAATGATTATAGGAGAACAGTTGACTAGCTAGACTATCCTGTACCAAGGTTGATAGTTGTATTCCATAGAATAGATTAATTCAGCATGTTGGTTTTTACAAACTTTGAATGCTAATTAATTAAGACGTAATGGTTTGGAAGTTTATATATGAAATTGTTTTTGTCCCTATGATTTTGGCATTAGGAATTTGTATGATATGGTTTGAAATATGTAACAAAAATGACTGGTGAGGTATTAGGTTTGATTTTTTTTTCCTTTTCATTCACTATAAGTGCAATTTTTTTAAATTTATCATAAACAGTAGTTTTTGCAGAGCTTGCACCCTATAAATACGCAGGCTATGGACAGCTAATTAAAACAATCGATTTGGAATCCAAAGATGATGCGTTGTTCGCGGAAGGTGGTGGGCGATTACTTGGCGCCGCCGTGGAGTTATGTCGTTACACTCTGATGAGTTCTTCTTTGAATGCTGAGCAGTTGAGACGTGATGCTGGTTTGGAAGTTAGTACTTGAAATTATTTTTCTTGAGGATTTTGGCGGTATGGAAGTTTATATATTATTTTCTAGTTGTAGTTTAGAATAAGGGAACTTATTCCACAAACATTTTAGACTATTTTTCCGCACTTCCATATTTTTATCATAGATATATAAAATATATGAAGGATTTCATTGTTTTGCTAAATTGATCGCTATTGTCTTCTTTATTGATAATGAAAAATTATTCGATTTATGTAGGTTATGAAATTCGATTAAAAATTATTGTGAAGCTAACCTTTTACCTTTGCATACTTGATATTTTTTTAGATTATAGGAAGAGGAAAATTTTTTTGTGTTTCATACTTTAATTAGTATACAGTAACAATTTAAAATGTTTGTCGAATGAGTTTAGGCGCTGTTGGCAGCATTTGAACGATGCGCCCCGATGGTTAATTTGAGTTCAAAGGAGGATGATATGGCGGTGCAGGTGCAGCATTTATTGATTTTCATCAGTCGTTATCAGTTCTAAGTTTCCTGTTGTTGGTAATAGAGAACTGAATCTATGCCTACCTTAATACCAGCTCATGAATTTTGTGCACTACCTGAGTTACTATCAAAAAAAGACATATTTCGGTTATCCAGAAAGTTAGGACATGTTATGTTTATTCTAGAGCTTCGTTGAGAAGTCTGATGTTTTTAATCACCTACTTCATACGGTGATATGTCTTACATCTTGCATCTTACAAGTTATCCACATTTTTTCTAATTTATATTTATTTTGTTAATTATTTTGAGATTTTTCCGAGAGCCAAGTACTTCATTTAATTTAAGGTTTGTATCCATTCGCTTTACTGTTTTGGAACAGCTGCGCAGTTTGATGCTTGTCGTGAAAAAATTTCGGAAATGCCAGTTTTGTTCAGTACCATATGTAGGCTGTTACAGTTCAATGTAAGTCTCTATTTTTCAGTTCTTTTTTTTTCTGCTAGTTTACAGCTGGTCCTGATTTCAAAAATCTTAAGAATTCTTATCAAACATGTTCGAAACTCTTGGGATATTCTAACAATTTTTAATTAATGGGAAATAATTTTGAAAAAAAAAAATTTGAAAAAAAAAGAATTTAAATCGAAGATTTTCAAGACTTGGTGTAGTTTCAAGCATAAGTTTAAATTTGCGATATCACGAGAATTTTATGTTTTCAGCATGTTATTCGTCTTGCATGCGCTGCTGCAGAATGTATTTGTGCCCTTGCTGTCTGTACCATTCTCCAAATGCATCTTTTTCAATCTGGCGTTATCTGGCAGCTGATCCCACATCTTTTTCGATATGACTATACCCTTGATGAAGGAGGTTAAACTTCTCTGGTTCTCATAGATTATTTGCGAGTTTGGATTTCAATTGCAACTTTGCGATCACTATGTTTGCGATGTTTTGTAGGTGTGGAGCATAATGAAGAAACAAATAAGCAATCATTGCACAATAAACTAGCACGATCTGGTTGCGAAGCATTGGCATGTTTAGCTGGCTTCCGACAAGGAACACCTGATAATGATGGCGTACAGAAAAGCCTTAGAGCTATGCTTACACCATATATATGTCAACTTATGCAACAGTCGGGAGATAATGATCGTGTAAGGATTTTATATAATTTTTTTAAGACGCATTTCAAGCAAAAAAATTGTCGCAGAAATCTGAACTTGGCAAAGGTTGGTATTGCAAACTAAAATTTTGTGCTCAGTTTAGCGGCGAAGTTTTTTATTTTCATATCAGGTGTTGAAAATTCTAAACAGTAATACGGAAGACCCATATCTTATTTGGGATAATGGTATACGGAATGAATTACTGGAATTTGTTGAATACCATCGTACTTCGACATCCAATACGGTGAGTTCGTTTTTAATTTTTGACGAAGTTTAATGAAATATATTGTTTTTATTTTATTGTGCTCATCGTTTTCTACAGCATTTTTTAATACTTCTTTAATAATAATTTCGAACAATTCTTGAGCTGTTTCAAATGACATCGAAAGTTCAAAAGTTTAAGAAAGTTCAAATGACATCGAACTTTCTTGGACAATTCTTGAACGTCATTGAACTGTTTTCTACACATCCATCATTTTTTTTATTTTGAAGAAAAAATATGTTACAGAGTGAATTGTTTGGTGGCGAATTCAAACATTCGACACATGAAAAGGAATTAATTGTAGGAGATATATTTATACGGGTTTTCAATGAACAACCAAATTTCATTATACAGGTATATTTATTTCTTTGAATCATTGGAATATAGTAGTTCTCACACTATTTTTACTCTCTAAAATACTGCTACTGCGAGCTTGTGATGGGTAATCTTGGCGAAATGCTATATTTAACTTGCAATCGCATTTTAGTGATGTTAATAATGTGATATTATGATACCCGAATGAATTATTTTTTCTACCGTAGTGGTAGAAATCTTATTGTTTGTAATTTTATTTCACTTGTTGATTTTCGGTTCGCAGGATTAACTAGCGAGATTACCGAATTTAACACCTTTTCTTCCATTTTCAAAATAAAATAATTGTAGGAACCAAAGAAATTTTGCATGGATTTGTTGGATTTTTTGCAAGAAAAAGCTGAGCAATTGTTTGAAGATGAGAAAGAAAGAAATGAAAAGAAAGAAGATGATACAATGATTGATTGGTGTATTGAACCTGCTACGATTACACCTGATGAGATTCTACGACATACTATAATGTCGTTGCAGGCATTTACGAATTTAATTATTGCAAACGCAGGTATAATGTAGACTATGTACAGGATACGACTTCAAAATTTTGTCAACTTGAGAAACTTATTTTATTCGGTGTTATATCTACGTTATACCTAATAAATAAAACGTTTTTTTATTTAATATTTAATATTCGTTTTATTTATTTAATAAATAAAACGTACATTACTTTTTACGAGCTTTTTACTACTTAAGAACGATCAATTAATTGAATTTTTGAATGGGAAGGCGGGAATTTATTTAGTATTTATTTAGTAGAAATTTATTTAGCAAATTTTAGATAGTCGAATTACCTTGTCATCTTTTTTTAGGCGTTGAAATCCTATTAATTGGTCATTATAAATTATTGTTTTCATTTCTTAAACTTCAAGGGTCTGCGGAATTACAAGGAATCGCTTTAAAAGTGAGTGTCTTTTTTTGAGTACTTTTTTTTTAAGTGAGTATCTTTTCTTTTACAATTCGTAATTTGACATATTAGGGATTGACAGACTTGCATTAAACTAAGTAATGTACTATATATATTTTAATTTGTATTTTTTGACATTCAATTTCATGATTTGCGTTTTTTTTTTTTGTCGATAATTCATAAATGGCAAAACTGCAGGTGATATCGTTAAGCTGCGTAAATCGTGAATGTGTGGCTGATATTGCTGGCTCTTCACAGTTACCTCTGTTGTTTTCCTTAATCCTACAGAATCATAGCTGTATGTTGATTGTTGCAAACAGACTATTTTTTATTTATTACGAAGACTAGTCGAGCTTTCATTGCGAAATGCTCTGTAGAGATAGATATTGCCTATGTAAGGTTGTCGATTTAATATATTTTCCACTCAGTTCTCGTCTACTGTCTTCCAATGATGATGTAACGTAATACTGGACGCGCTACTACATGAATATCATGAAATTGATTCATAGAGTTAATAGTTGAGTCTTTCCATTTACTGTGTTTAATGATTGAACTTCAGGGCAGATCACCTAAAATTGTGCAAAATTGTATTGTATTGGCAAGTTGATTTCCAGTTCTCATTTTTGTATAAATTCACTTAGTGCATTAATTACAGTTATTCCAACCGTTCTTTCCACGTTGATCACATTGGCGTCAAATACAAAGGTCGTCAAGGAGTCGTTGGAGTATGGTTAGTTTGTAGTTTCATTTAAAAATTTTAAAGTAAATAAAGTTTTTAAGGTAATTTTTTTAAGAAACTAAAGGTAAATAAAAAGTGGTTGTTTATTTCATGTAACCTGTTGTGTTTCTATTAGCAAAATACTTCTTTTGGTTATTCATTTTTTGATTATTCACGATGATTTTGAAAGCTTTGAAGCTTTCTTATTGTTATTTCTTAGTGCTTTCATCAGTTCTTTTGCTAGCCTATTTATATAAATTTGACTTCTTTCGGTTGTGGTCAAAAATAGTGATTAGAGCACAAATAGGCGAATATAGATCCTGGAATATTGATAATCTGCCAAAATTTATCAGTAAACAGTTGAATAATAGAACAAGCACATTTCTGTCTCTTTTTTTTTTCATTTTCTTGTTGATTTGAAGTATTTGCATGTTGTGTCTATATGAATTGTTTCCGCTGACTGTTTTATCTATCGCTGTAGATGCAAAACAAAATCTTCCAGTAATTCCATAAGTAACCGCACATATGTAAAATGAAACCACACCAAACGCTAATTAATAGCGGCAATGATTCCGATTATAATTTATGAAAGGCTTCAGAATTTTGCGGGGATTCAGTTTTTAATTTCTTTACTTTCTACTCTGAATTGCAAATAATGCATTACTTTTGTTTTAGGTGGTCTACTGCACATTTTAAATGTATTTTTCAATGATCAATTGGATCCAGCGACGCGCATATTAGCAGCGGAATTGTTGGCGAAAATGCAAGCAGATAAACTGACAGGACCACGTTGGTCACGATTTATTGTGCGCTTCTTACCACCCATCTTTACGGATGCCTTAAGAGATTCACCGCAAACAGCGTAAGTGAATTTTTTTTTATCGTTGACTAATGTTTTATATTTCTCTTGTGGAACTTTTTTGATAACATTTGCGAGTTTCTGCCGTCAATTCTGCTCTGAAAATTTCGTATGATGATAAGTGTTGTCATTTGAGCAACAAACAATTGCTATCTTTGATATCGTGCCAAATATAGATTATCAATGTTTGATTCAACCATGAAAATCCGGAATTGATTTGGAATGATGTCGTGCGTTCCAATGTGAAAAACGTTGTTTCACATGAACTGAACCTGCTCAATTCATTACAGTCGCAGAATCCTTCCGCAAAATGGAAGACGGTACATATTTCTTCCATTTACTAATCTGTTACTTTTGTCACATAATATGTTGTTCGAACGAAATTTCATGATTTTGCCGAACTGTTTATTATTCCCTTAGGACCATTAGAGCAATTGAATGTTTTCGTTTTTTTTCTTTTTTTGATGTGGCACATTTATGCCGTAATTTTGTTTGCTCTAAATGCTTTTATACTTTGTATCGTAAAGAGAGTTTTGCACTATATGTATTTCTTCAGCACTGCAACATTTCTAAATCGAGATAATGACATAAAGGAACATTATATTTAAAAAATAGAAGAAAATGTAGGAAAACTAATTAGTTTCTTGAATTTTGAATGTTTAATGCAAAAACTTGTTCAATTCTAGGATGTAACAAATGAAAAATGCGCATATTCCGATGTAATGGATGATGAATTAGTGGTTGCGGGAGTGTTTTTACGACTTTTTATCGCAAATCCATCATGGCAGGTACGCCATCCGAAACAGTTTACTGCTGAATTGATTGAGAAAGTCCTAGAATGTATGGAACGGCCAACACCTGATTTGGATATCATTACATCCGCATTCGTTGCTTTACTTTCCAATCATCCGACTGTTGCCAATCATGTATGCATTTCAAGTATTTTATTGCTATAACACTTCACAAGTTAAATTTCTTCTTTTAGTCGTTCGTTCTAACTTCTGAAGAGCTATAAAATAATTCAAAAAATCTAACGTAAATGTTTAGGTTATAAACCAAAGCTTACTTTGTCTTGTGGTACACGACGGTAATAAATAAGCTAGTCAACTTATTTATTTATGATCATTTCTACTATTCTTTTTTTTTTTTTTGGTTAAATTTGAAGTTTATTTTGCTTTTTGAAAAAAAAAAGGATTTACCAAATATTTCATATCTAGTGCAATTGCATACTGGATTCGAATATCATTTATCTTGTTAAAGAAAGATTATGTTGGTTATCCATTCAACCATTGACTATTATCTATGTTATTTATCAGGTAGATATGGGTAATAAAAACGCATGACTTTCTTTTTTAGCTTCCAGCACAAGGCTATTTACCGCAATTTTGTGCATTAATGTCTTCATCAGCTGGTCATGCTTCCCATTCAGCGATTATAATTCTTTCGCATCTTGCCGAAAATACGGTTTGCTTTCCTTCTGTAAATTCTTTTGTTTGTTTCAGATTTTCTCTTCTCCATTCGTTCGTCAAATTTCTTTTCATTTCTCTTCTACTAATTAGTTCCATATTTTAAATTCAATTTTTTAAACCTATTCATTTGCATTTTATTTCATTTATTTCTTCATGCTGCCTGCTAATAAGCGAAATATAAGTGTGAGATTTTTAGTACTGTGCTGATTCACTCGCCAAATTAAACTGCATTGGAGGTATCATGAAATCGATGAAACAACAGCCAGGTTGGTTTCGATCTAGAATCTCACAGTTTTTAAATGTCTAATATATCAGCTTGCTTGCAAATCTGATCTACCTTGAGCTTTTCATAGGTGAATAGATTAAACGGAACATTTTAATAGCCATAATATTGATTAGGGATTTGAAATACATTATACTGATGGGAGCAAACATATTGCTGATCTGCTGGATAACAGAACTCTTGAAAGGATATGCGAATACAAATGATAAATTTGAAATCGCTTACTTTAACTGTTGAAGTTGAACTTATACGTTAAGTGTATGTGAATTTATTATAAATTTAATTCCTTTGAGTTTTTACAGCCTTAATCAGAGACTCAGCGCATGCACTAAAATGTTTATTGAAGCGAAACTGCAGTGATCTCGCTGCTCAGATGCTCTCTACTGGTATGGTTGAATATTTACTGCAGTTGCTGGGTGATAATATGAAAGGTTTGTGGCAGTTATGAAGAGTATAAATTTCTTTTAAATTTTTATTCTGTATGAAATACATGTTTTCCAAATGTTTGATTAGTTGTGTGTAAAAATCACAACGTATTAAATTGGTATTGCTTGTAATCTTTTAGAATAATATAAACTACTTCCCATAAAAGTGTTTTTCACCCTCTCCATCAATTTACCGCAGTTTCCTGTGAATCATAATTTGTGATCTCTTTTTTCAAGGGATCGATAGTGTCGCTGCAGCAAAAGCAGAAATAGTGAGTGCGTTAAAAAATGTCTCGTTAGATTTGCAGTATGGAACTAAAATTGCGGAAATTTTGAGTGAATCTTCTGTCTGGACACAATATAAGGATCAACGACATGACCTTTTCATACCAGCAAACAACGTGCATGCTATTGCAGGTGAAATTTTTGCGAAAGTATCGATATTTTCCAGAAAAAAGAAATGATAAGCACATTAAGTTGGCGATACTTTAATATTACTTAAGGGTTCTGATATTACAATTCTGGAAACTTAGGCATCAAATTCTAATTCTAATTTTAGGTGCGCCGTCGGGTATTGCGGGCTATCTAACCGAGCGAATGTTCACACCACCTTCTACAAATTTCACACCTCCTCCTATTTCTTCTAAAAAACCGAACCACGAATGAACTCCGATTTAATTTGATATTTTTGCTGGTTTCTTTGTTGACAAAAATTGATCTTTTTGGAAATTATTTACTTATACACTGTCCGGAAGAAAGTGAAAAAAATGAGAATTTGTCGATTTTTTAAAATTTTATTTCCCATGTTCAATTTTCAATCTTTCCGATTCAAAATTAGAGGCATTTGTCGATGGTTTTTGATAAGATTCATCTATGAATTTATTTATACAGGAAAGCAACGATGAATTTTATTTAGTTTCATTAGGAAAATATTTAGAAGGAATTTTTATTCTCATGTTTAGTATATCGAAATGATAGCTTAATTTTCAATTTTTTTAAAGTGTATAAACATAATATTTGATAAGAGCCAAACAATTATATATATATACATATATATATATATATATATATATATATATATATATATATATATATATATAATA